TGAAGATTTGAAAAGTAAAGTCAAATTGCAAATTAAATTGTTTTTTCATGAATCTATTCACTTAAATAAGACAGCAAACCCTTACAAATTGTGGTCAGAAAACGCAAAATAAAACTTTCAAAATTTTTCTTATTATTTGCTGTTGGCAGTCTTTTTTTTTTTTTCATTACAACCTGGTATTATGCTGAATAGTTTGCAGTATTCAGCCAAATACCGAAGAGTGGAAAACAGTTGCTGAATAGGCAAAATACCGATCTTGTGACATTGTTGTAAAAAATCCTTTTTTTATAAATAGTTAAAGTTCTTATTTTATTACTATTTTAATAAAGTATTTGATATATTATATCAATATTAATATAATAATATATAATAATTGTTGTATTTAAAACATTTTTTCTTTCAACTGCAGTTTGTTTTTTATTTTGTTTTTCTTGTCTTTGAATCTTATTTTCTCATGTTTTTGCCACAAATTACAATAAATGAATGAATGATTTATATATAAATTTAAAATTACTATTTGCACATTTTCACTTCTTCTTTTTTTTCCATAATGATAAGATTTTAAAAAATATATATTTAGTAAAAATCTTGTTTTAGGTAACATGAGTAATTTTTATAGTAATGTTTCATAAAACAAGTGTCTTTATCTTATTAAGTATTCAATTTAAATAGCTGTGCATGAGGTTTTATAACATTATTGTTAACTTATTAAAATTTTATAACGTTATTGTTAACTTATTAAAATTAGCTGTTTTTAAAACGAGCAAGAGTATTTTAAACTATTAACATAATCTGTTGATTTAAATGTAAGTTATTTGCATTTCCATTTAAAAGATACATGTTTTTTTTTTTCATTTTGTTTAAAATCTTTTTTTTTTTTTTGAAGGAATATGAATTCATTAATTTTCAACATTAAGTTGTTTTTGAATATATAAAATTCAGTCATGAAGAACTATTGCCAAGATAAAAATTTAAACAAAGATAAAAATAAAATTTTTGAGCATCCAAAAAAGAAATCAAACATCATTCCCAAGTGATAGCCGGTCGAATTGACCTCTTGCCTTTGATTTCTTATTTTCCATGTTGTATATATACAGGGCTCGAAATAACAAACTTTTTCGTATTGGACAGTTTGTTAAAAAAAAAATTTGGTTTGTCAGACATGACCAAAAAAAACTAAAATATTAACCTATTTCACTTTGTTTCAAAATAATTATTTCTGATTTATAATTTAAAACCAATATGCGCAAATAAAGTTAGTCGAAATTATTAAATTGAATATTTTAGAGTTTTTTGGGAATAAAAAAGATGCCTTTTTAAAAAAACTTGTATTATTTAAGTAAAAAAGAATAGTTGTGTTCATTATCTTCTTTCTTATTTGTTTACTTAGGAGTAATGGTATGAACAATTTATGTTGAACACTATTTGATATTTAAGCTGATGTTTACTGATTTAACATTAAAGCAACTTTTCTTGACATGAATATATTGGTTTGTAGATACAAAATTTATTTTGTATTTATTGTAAAACTTTCAGAAAATGGAAACAAAAGATATATCGATAAAAGATTTTTACAAAAAGTTAGTTTGCGCTTATTTTTTTATTATCATCAAAAAGAGATTTAAGAATGTCTTTCCCGCTATCATTTTCACTGTCGCTAAGAGAACTAATAGTTTTTTTTTTTTAAGCCCTATTTTTGTAAACACCCATTAGCTTTTGGTTTGGGTGTCCTTCCTTATCGCTCCACCACAATTCAATTGTAGGGAGAAAGTTAAATTAATTTAATAATGGGCCATCTTCCAAAATGTTACCTTACATGTTTCTTTGTTGGTATTTTTTTCATGAATAGAATTTGATGTATGCAACTCTTTTAAAAGTGGTTTAAATGAGGAAAAAAGTGTTTTTTAGATTTTCTCTTTAGCTGGCTCAACTTTTAACACTTTGGGCATAAGGCAATTTGTTTAAGTTCCTCATCATGACTTACGTCATCAATTTTCAAAGAGTTGCACAATAATTGCAAAAAAAAAAAAAAAAAAAAAAAACAACGCACTTCATGCATGTATACTTTATTTCTTTCATAATAACAGGTGCAAACTGCTTCCATATATCACGGCCTAGATTGAGTTAATTGCAACAAATTATCATTGAGTTTTGTACAAATTCGCATATTCATTGTAAAGTTTATAAAATAAAGATTTTTGTTTTAGTTACACAATGTGACAAGAAGTATGTTCAACAAAAAGTAAAAAATAGATTCACCATTCCAAAATTTCAAATTCAAATCAACTTTCAAATTCAAATTCAAATAAGCTAAAAACTATTTAAAACAAACGCTAAAATAAAATTTATTTTTGACAAATTAATTATATACACAAGAATCTTCTTTTAAAAATTTAATTTTTAATTTTTAAATGTTTTTTTATTTTGTTACATAAAATATGCTCATTATTAATAAATATAATAAATTCATATAAAATAAAAAAATAGAGTTTTAATTTTTACAAAACCAACTTTTGTAAAAAGAAAAACCTGTCTATTGTTTTAATATGACAAAAATGTAAAAATAAATTAGTCTAAGCTAAATAATCTATCCAGCATGTAAATGTTTATTAAGACTATTTTTATTTTATAAGTTACATTTGTTTAGGTATTGGAAATACAATGACAACCGACAATAACTTTACTTCATACACATATAAAATATGTATCTAAGGTCGCAATTTCCTAATATATTTTGTGCATTTGAATTCTTAAAATGTTCTTGAATGCACTTTAATTTTATTAAACAAGAAGAAAAACAAAGAATAATGAAAATTTTTATTGCTAACCCAACCCACACCCTCAGTTGATGCAGCAGCACTCCCTTACATGTTCTACCTAAGTTTATTCTTCTGTATTGAAGAATAGACTGACTGCAGCGGCATTCCCTTACATGTTCTATATAGATAATTAGTCTATTCTTCATTACTGAAGCTCCTGCAGCAACCTATTTCAGTATGATGTTATCAATGTAAATCTAATGCTGCATTTATATATGTATATATATATATATATATATATATATATATAATATATATATATATATATATATATATATATATATATATGTATATATATATACATACACACACACACACACACACACACACACACACACACACACACACACACACACATAAAAGTATACTTAGATTGGCACTCTGATGTAATACTAAAATAGGGAGCTTTTGAGGGCTTTAGTACATACATTGACTGAAATAAAGAAAACTTGCAAGAAAAATGCTGCTACATCCACTGAGGATTTGGGTTAGGGCAGTGATAAATTTTTTTATTATTCTTTTTTTTTCTGTTGCAAAAAAAAACTGTATTGTTTTAAGTCAGCAAAAAAAAGTTGTCCATGTTTTATGGGATTATCATGATTTTAGGTGATCTGTTCTAGCTTCCCACACATAGTTATCAGGACAGTCAATTGTCCCAGTTTTGAAACAAAAAGTTTTTGAAAAAAAAATTAAATTTTAAAGTGATTTTTTAACTTTTTATTACCAACACATTAACAACCATATTGGCCAGAGTGCAACTGTACACTAAGTTTCCATTTAAACCAGGTCAGGCCTTGTTTTAAAGCATTAAGCTGCCAGCAATTTATGTACGTGTAGAGAGATATTCTATAAGTGGTAAGATAAAAGAAGTAATTAATTATATAAAAAACCACATAAACTTTTGTATAATGATTGTATAAAAAAGTTTGTTACAAAAGATCGATTGATAATTATGTTATAATTTTTTTATAAGTAAATAAGTGCTTATAAGATATAAGCGCTATTTACTTATAAAAAAAACTCAAATAAAATTAAAAGTTACGAAAACTTAATCTCTATAAAGCTAATTATTTTATTGAAATATTTAGTAACAGAAAATAAAATTGTTTATAGTTAACAAAATATTTTTATTGTATACTAAGTTATTGAACGAAACATGAAAATACTAATGAAGTAAATTTCATAATAATATAATTTACTTCTGATAAAAAATGTATGCAAGGCCGGCGCGATAGGGGTGTGACACCCCCTCCCCCATCAATGATTTTAGTCGGTAAACTGGACCCTTAGTCGGCAAATTGGACCCTTAGTCGGCAAATTGGACCGTTTTAGACTAGTATGTCGACCCTTTCGATATAGGTTAGACAGTCGGTAAATGTCATCATGACAGTCGGCAAATTTTGGAAAACGAGGACCTTAGTCGGCAAAAGTTGTAGTGGCACCCCCCAACGTGGCACCTACTCGCGCCGGCCCTGAATGTATGATTTAATCAAAATTAATTTATGTATTATTTTTATTCTGATAAAAATAATATATAATTTAATTTTGATTTAAAAAATATAATTTAATTTTGATTTAAAAATATATAATTTAATTTTGATTAAAAAAATATATTTAAATTTATCAAAATTAAAGTTATTAGGTGCAAAACCGCAGTTAAAAATTTAATTAATAATCATTTAAAAAATTATAACATATTTTAATTCATTTATATAAGTGTTGATAAAAGAAAGATATTTGTTTATATCAAACATTTTAAAATATGTAATATTAAATTTAATTATTTAATATTTAAAAAAATGAAAGAAAATAAACATTCCCAAATAATAATAATAATAATATAAAATGAGTTAAATAATATTTAACTTGTTTTGCGGTAATTAATATTATTGCAGCCAAGTTAATCACAAACACACTTAAAATTTTATACATATATATATATATATATATATATATATATATATATATATATATATATATATATATATATATATATATATATATATATTGTTGCAAAAAAATAATTTAAAAAACATTTATACATAGACTTGATTATTTACTTTTTCTGGTAAAAGATATAAAAAAAATTCAAATTTTTTAATATTTCCAAATCCCTTTAATTATTAGTTATAAATAAAATTTTTTTTTTTGCATAAATACAGTATTAACTTTTTTGTTTAGTTTATATCAAATATTTTGAGTATGGAACAATTATCAGGATCATCTATCAGTTCTAGACATTTATTAAGTCAAGAAACATCTGTTTCAAATATTTCTACTGGGACCTTTTTCAATAATTCTTGTGTCTTTTTGTTTGCTTCAAGCATAAAATTTGGTTTTAACTCTACAACTGTTGATTTTATTAATCCTAACAATTCTTGGAGTGTTGGTGGCTTTTGTAGTAATTCAAGTAACAGGTTTTACAGGTAATAACTATTTTTTAGTACTGGACTACTATTGATAAATGGTTGTTAGATGACAGGGATTTTCCTCCCCATGAAAGTTGTACTTCCTCACACTTGCTATTTAAGCTTGGTTTTTTTTTAATGGGGTTCTGAGTTTTCCTTAAAGGGATCACAAAGTGCCGAGACAAGTTGTGTTCATATTAAAGATAATGATAAATAAAATTGTTTGGGCAGAATTTTTTTAAGTAAAACAAAATAATAAATGTATACCAAGAAAAACAAACTTTGTTGTTTTACTCGAAGCTCACCGTCTCTGTTAGCTAGTTCCTCAAAGTCTTTAAAATATATGCCGCAATCTACAGACTTTATAATTTATTCAAGTGTGTTTATTTCTAAAGAGTTTTAGAAATAAACACACTTGAAAGTTTAATTAATAGTATTTATTTGCTAAACTTTTTATCTGGTACAAATATTCTTGAAATTCTTATTTAATCTTGCGAAAATATATTTATTAAAATTTATTCTGTGAAACATGTATTGCTTATTTTATTTTATTTTAAAAATAGAACAATTGGTCAAGGTTGCAAAAAAGTATCATTTTCAAGTCGATTTTAAAATTGAAATCATATAATGAAAAACTTTTTATTGTCAATTTAGGTGGATTTTTGATTTGTAATTTTAAAAGCCAGGTTTTAATGTAAAATACTTGCCAAATACGACATAAATTGGGAAATATTGAATATGTGTTTTTAAAGCGCATTGCAACACATTGACATTTTTAATCACCATCTGTCTTGAATTATTGCCATAAAACATTATTGCTTTAATTAATAAAAAACTGTCTGTAAATTTGTTAAGTATAAAATCTATTTTCTATTATTTTCTAACTAAAAATTTAAGAATTCGGCAAATATCTCTAATAAATGTTATTTACCAAAATTCTTTATTAAATCAAAATTTAAGAATTTGTAAAATGTCATTTCGATACGAGAACAAAAATGTCATAATATAAATGGCTCAGAAAAAAAGTTCACATTGTTTACATAAAAAGAAAAAAGATTCAGAATATACAATAAGTTGATCAACGTCTTTTTTGAATATTTATTATATTTAAGAGAATATTTATATTTATTATTTTTAACATAAAAATCTGAATTTTATTTGGTTTAAAACATCCTTTTGTTTGGCTTCCTATAAAGTTTATAGGAAAGTCATGATTGATAATAAACGTTTGTTTTAAAAAACAAATAAAACAAAAGCAAATAATATTGATTCAAAAAAAAAAACAATTCTACCATTACGTCATTTACTAAAACTCTTTGGAATTAATCACGCTTGAATAAGTTATCAAGTCTGTAGATTACGGCTTATATTTTTAAGACTTTGAGGGACTGGTTAACATGGAGATGGCAAGCTTCAAGTAAAACAACAAAGTTTGTTTTTCTTGGCATACCTTTATTATTTTAAAGTTTATAATTAAAAAAATTCTGCCCAAACAATTTTTTTTATCATTTTCTTTAATATGAACACAACTTGTCTCGGCACTTTGGGATCCCTTTAACAGGAAAAACAATTTTTTTTCTTATTGAGGAAATACTCATTTAAGTCTGAAAAATTTTAAAATATTTATGGTTGTATGTGAAGAGATAAATATTTTATTAGTGACGTATGAATAAACAATTGCTTATGCAGGGTTCACGGCACTTTTTATATATATACATATATATTTTTATATATATACATATAATATATACACTTTTTATATATATACATATATATTTTTATATATATACATATAATATATACACTTTTTATATATATATACACTTAATACATATACACTTTTTATATATATATATACAATACATATACACTTTTATATACAATACATATACACTTTTTATATATATACATATATATATATATATACATATATATATATATATACATATATATATATATATATATATATATATATATATATATATACATATATATATATATATATATATATATATATATATATATATATATATATATATATATATATATATATACATATATATATATACATATATATACATATATATATATATATATACATATATATATATATATATATATACATATATATATATATATACATATATATATATATATATATATATATATATATATATATATATATATATATATACATATATATATATACATATATATACATATATATATATATATATATATATATATATATATACATATATATATATATATACATATATATATATATATATACATATATATATACATATATATATATATATACATATATATATACATATATATTTATATATACATATATATATATATATACATATATATATATATACATATATATATATATACATATATATATATATATATATATATATATATATATATATATATATATATATATATATATATATATGTTTACTTAGGGAAAACCTGAAAAACCAGGTAAAAGTTTTTAAATTGTGAAAAATCAGGGAATACCTGGAAAAGTCAGGGAACTTTTTTGAAAATCCTAAAAATTAGGGAAAACTCAGGGAATGGTTTTTAGTTTTATATATAACTTGAGGTTATTTTGTAACATACAAATTTATAGTTTTTATTTTTATTGAAAGTTGCTTACTACAGTGGTTTTATAACTTATAAAATATAGTAACCATATGTTTAATTAAATATTTAATTAAATATAATAACATAAAATATGACTTTAGAGAAGACCTATTTTCAAGAAGATTGGTTACAACACCATTTTTATAAAAATGTTTAGGTAAAAAGCATCAATCTACTGCAATTCTGTTAGCTATTTATTTGTTAATGGAAAAGAATTGTGAGCTGAGCCTCTTAGATGTGAAGAAAAAATACAACATTTTGCACAAAAAAAATAAATGGCTATTGATTTCTCATTTAAATCATTTTTATCAACTATTGCTGAGATCATTTGAGCACTGAAATCTACATAAGAATTCTACTACTCTAATAATTCATGTGCAAATTTAAACAACTTTTTTAAAAAGATCTTTCTTGACAGTAAGGTTGCAGAAGATTTCAGCATGAGATCCTCAAAAATATCATACATTGTTAATCATTTGCGCCATACTTCAAGACACTCTTACAAGAAGAAATCACAAAATCAGATTTTTACATCGTATCTTTTTATGAGAGTTTAAAGAACATAACTAAAACATGACAGATGGACCTACTCGTTCGATAATGGGATGTCAATAACAAAGTTAAAGTAAGATATTAGGTGTCAGCTTTTCTTTGCCAGTCTACAGCTTCTGACCTTCTTACTTATCTTAACAAATATTTATCAAGATTTGATTCAAGTAAAATGTTTCAAGCTTCCATGAACCCTTTACAAATTGAAATTTCTAGATGATCTAAATAAACACAAAAAGAACAACTAGATGCCACAGCTTATAAATATTGGAAGTTGCTCCTTGCATTTTATTCATGGTACCTAAAACAGCTATCGAATTAACACCATGGAATATTAAAGAAATTCTGAAATGGTGTTAAAAACTCCTCACAACAGCCTGGCTAGGCGTCAAGATTATGAAGCAGTCACAGACGCAACAAAATACCCTCTTTTATTTTGGTGGATTAAAAATAAATCTGTTGCAGATTGTGGTATTGAAATCTGGCCTAATATATTTGAGTTAATTGAGTTTTGGGAAAAGTTACCATCTTTAAACCAACCCAAATCAATATGCCTTTTAATTGTCAAAAAAGCTGTTAAAGACAAACTTGTTCAAAATTTGAAGTTTTCAGCTTTGTTGCCAGCATAGTAGAGCCATATTTGTTGGCATACCAAACTGACAAGCCAATGATTCCATTCATGAATAGTGACCATACTGAACTTGTTTGTGAAACACAAAGTTATTGATAATTGTTCTATAGCAGAAGTTGATTTTCATAAAAAAGATTATCTACTAATGGAAATCAAATTAAACTAGCATTTGTAGCTGAAACAAGATTAGCTTCTTTACAAAAGAAAGATATAATAAGTATTTATGTTTCCAGAAATTAAATTGAAAAGCTCACAAAGATAAGTAATTTTTATAGTCTACTTGGATTGGTAAGGACCCTCAAACAAGTTAACAGAAATAATCTTTATCATTATTAATATGTTATAAAAGTAAATCCACAAGACTTCAAGCACTATTGTTTAACAGTGAAGCTAATTAATTACAAGTTAGTTCCTTTTTTTAACATTGCTGTGGCAAAATCATCTATTCATGATTGAAATGAACCTATGACTTGGGCTAATGTCAAATTTAATGAAAAAACCTAAAAGAAAAAAATTACTGACATTCAAAGTTTTTAAAATGATTGCTTTTTACGACTAATTGAAAAGTTTATGGAGTGAACTACATTAGGGTCTATCATTGTATGCAATTCTCAGGTTTTTAACCCTAATGAATTGATAACAATGGCTCCAGAAAACACAGAGGAGTACAAATCTTTATTGACCCACTTGATTAGCTTAAATTATCTTTCACCAGTCTTTTCTGATAAAGCTATAAATCAATTTACAAATTTCTTTTGAGAATCAAGGGTTTATCAAAACAATTTTCATGAATCCAATAGAGATAGTGATAGTTTAGACAACTTTTATTTTAAAAAGTGCAATCTAAATAAATATAACAAGTTGGTATCAATTGTCAAAATACTTTTGACACTGAATTATGGATAAGCTTCAGTTGAGAGAGGTTTTAGTATAAATGCCGCAGTACTCAAACAAAATTTGAATGAAAAATCAATATCTGCATGAGGTTTAGTTAAAGATCATATGCTATCAAATAATCTTCAGCCACATAATATTGAAATTACAAACAAAATGATAATCAATGTAAAATCAGCCCATGAAAGATATATATGTAAGTTCAATACCACGCACTAATAAAATCTTAGATCAAATGAGAAAGATACTAAAATAACTTAATATAGAATAGATCTAATATAAATGT